CGCCACGTTATCAGTTGGCGTCATCGTGTCCTGAATGTCATTATCAACAGGGACAGAGGAAAGGTATTTACGAAGCGAAGCGAAGGATTGTTTCCTTAATTTGCGCTTTTTAATTTTCGCAACGCGAAGTGGGTCCGAAGCGGTTGTAGCATCGGCAGGAATTTGCGCCGTAGTCTTAGACTTCGGTCGCGGAATAGGAACGTGCTTAGCATCGCTCAAAGAAACAGCCTTAGTCTTAGCTATAGGCTTAGGAACCATTTCCAGAAAGTCGAGTCTAAGACTCAGACAATGGGCGAGTAACTGCTGCGGCGCAATGTGAGGCGAGGACCGAACAAATGATCGTCGATACCAAAATGTAACAGCCGTCTCTTACCTTAGCTGTTTTAGCGGAAGTAGAGGGTCTCGTCCACGATTGGCGACCCAGCGTTAGGCGTGAGAAGAGACAAGGGAAGTCGGGATTCGAAGACATACGTCGAGAACGGTGACAGCAAGGTTTTGAACCCTGAACACTAGTATAGTGATACGTTAAGTGTCTGGCCGAAGCACTTCACCTGGGTGGCTTAAATGCGGCCCACCTGCCGCCATCTCCATTCCTGGAGTCTTGGTGCCGTACGCTAGGTTGTGATAGCGTACCAGAAAGTGAGTTCGTACAGTTAACGAGTATGGTTCGTAAATACGGGACCGTACCGTTACTGTGATTAAGCTTTAATAGCTTAAAGATATTCTAAGGTAAATGTAGCTTGCTACAGCTGGCCGACGAGCTGGAGGCCCGCTTCCCCCCCACGGCCCTGCTGGACGCCTTCCAAATCCTCTACAGCGAGTACTGGGAGGCCAGGCCGACAGCGGCAGACTTCCGGTCAAAGCTGAAGGTGATCAAGACTCACTACGGCAAGGAGTGCGAGCTGGACGACAGGAGTAAAGTGCCGCCAAAGCTCAACATCGCGGCATTGGATGCCAAGGCCACAGAGTTCGAGCAGCTCATGTGGTCCTTGGCAACCAAGCAGCGACTGGCCCGGATTCGGGGGCAGACCACCAAGCTGCGTGAACAGCTTGAGGTGGAGCGGGCGGCTGCTGGCAGCAAGGTCGTGCAGTGAAAGCTACATGAGGAGAAGGAGGAGAGCCCCACCATCCAGCTTTGGAAGCAGCTGGAGAACACCCCTGTCCATGCGGAGAGCCTAAAGGAGTACGTGGCTTTGGCCAAGCTCGTGTTTGTGATGGTGCCGGGGTCGGTGGAGGATGAGTGCTGGTTTTCGGCCATGAACTTCGTGCAGAGCAAGGTCCAGAGGTGGTGCAGAGGCCTAGCCAGCAACTGGTCGGCGGCTGGTGCAATGCAGTTGTGTTGATGGTGCCGACAGTGTACATATATATAACTTTGCCTTCGTGTGCTCACGACGTTTATGGACAGTCAAAGTGGCTCCGCGCCCTGCTCACACTATGACGACGGGTGATCGCGTTTAGTCCGCGTTAGCTCGCGTTAGTTCGCGTAACGGTGCGAATCTTAGCGTTAGGTGCGAATGAGCATGCGCAAAGAGCTAACGCACAACGGCTATGGAAAAGTGGAAATCGGCCCTTCTGGCCAAGTTTTTTAAAAATTTATAATTTTCAGATTGTAAAGGTTTATTTGGAAATAAACTTGCGTCGTTTTGGTCGACTTGAACAATTCATCCGTGCGTTTGTTGAAACGCGAAGCATACGCGCATGTGTAGCAAGGCGATACGCATGCGATTCCATATTGCGATTCGTGCGTGTGGNG